GCTGGCATGCTGGCTCCCAAGGCTTGCTCAGAAAGGCTCATCTAGAACAACAAGGATGACCCCTGAGACCTTAAAGAGAAAATGCGGACCGCTTAGGTGCTCCCGAATGGAAGAACCTGAACCAGGCCAACCTGTTCCGGGAACGGAGCCTACAGAAAGAAGACAAGGGTGGCAGAAAGACCCAGGCTTTGCCTCCATCTGTGGGGGACAGTGTGTGCAGCAGCCCACGAACTAGCCAGGAAGCAAAACAGCAAGGTCAAGGGCAGTGCCCTGACAAGGGTACAGACGGTCCAGGAGGAGGCTGCTCATCCAGCTTGTGTCCCTATTTTACTTGGAACCTCTTCGTGCCTCAGATTCCTTAGGCTCTTCAACCCTACGTGCTCTTAGCGGTGCTGTTCGGTGCGGTTCCTCTCCCTTCTCCCTTAAGAGAATGACGTGGAGCGTCACGTTGGGTATCACAGCCCAAACAACACCTACCTGCCCGTTGGGACAGCGCACCAAGGAAAAAGACCCTTTCCAGGAAGGGATGGAGATGAGGCACTGCCCCAAACCAAGTTAACTTTGTTCAGATTTTTTTTTTTTTTTTGCTTTCCCACTTCCTCTAACAGCCTTCATCTTCCCTCAAAACAGATAGATAGATAGATAGATAGATAGATAGATAATAGATACAGATATAGATGATATAGATAGATACAAATGATATAGATATAGATATAGATATAGATATAGATATAGATAAACATATCAATCAGCAGAATCAGGGTCATAGCCTTTGGAAAATGCTCACACACACACACACACACACACCCCACGATAAGAAAGAAAAACATCAAGGCCACTCTCTCATGATCATACTCTATAAATTTATATTCCTGACTTGCAGCATCTAACTCGAGGAATCTAAAGAGAAACGTTCTGTGACAGAAACAAAATAAGACAGGCCTAAGTGAATCATGCGAGGGCAGCCCCACCATTTCCATGTGAAGTGAAAGAGGGTGGCAACTCACCGCATTCTGATTTTATTTTGAACCGAAGTGCGTAAAAAGACTCTTGTTCTAGACTCTAAATTTTATGGTCGCAAATTTTATCGGACACCCTACCTTTTCCTTCCCAGGATGCAATTCTCGCCACTCCCCCCCCCCACTCCACTCCCCAGAGTCCCGAAATAGGAAAGAAATATGTACACAACAGGGTGGTCCCCCACTTCCCTCCGTTCACTTTGGTGACTTTCACGTAAGTTTCCTCCGGACCCTCAAAGTATTCACAGAGTGTTTTGAGTAGGGTTCTCTTCAAAGTGTTTTGAAACAGTTTCAACGTAGTCACAGTGTCAGAGAAAGTTGTGGCCAGCTTGTGCTGGTGGTAAAGTGGGGACCACTGGAAATCGAGGCCTTCCTCCCTTATTTTATTTTGTTTTGTAGTAATTGGCACCATCAGGGAAATGCACAAAGATGAAGCACTGGGGAAATAAACTCTCAGTTTCCAGTGTAGGTCCCATCCAGAGACAGATTAAGGGAGGTGTGGGCTTTAACAGCTGCCAAGAACTTTCAGGTTCAGAACAAGTGTCCACGCACGACACAGATTTGGCAAAGCCTTCTCCTCTTAATTTCATACTCGCAAGTATGTGCAGGGAAATGTAATCCCTGTTTTTCTGAGAAGCTTTCCCTTTCTAGAACATCCAAGCCCTGCTTTACAAGCACGTACCTCATGAAAAGGGAGCTTGTAACATGGAGGAAACCTTCCTGCCAAACAAGGAAGTTACTCCCCTGACCCAAAGAAGTAGTGTGTTGTAAGGCGACCGCTTCGAAACGTATTTTGCTCATCTACATCCTGCACTCCCTGCTGCAAAATAGTTCTCTGGCTCCTAAAAGTGTGCGGAATGATAAAAGGGAGGGAAGGAAAGAAAAAAATAAGTCGTATGATTGAGCACTTAGCATGTCCCAGAAATGCACTTTAGGACTTTGCATATGTTGTTTCATTTCATCTTTGCAACGAGCCCATGAGATCACTTATCTTTGTGTTTCCACGGAAAGATAGAGACACTGGGAACAAGATGGTTTGGGTAACTTCTCCAAAGTCTGAGGGGCTGATCTAGAAGTAGGATTACAATCTATATAATTTTAAAGCTCCTCTTTTTTCATTATACAATACAGTCTCCCAATTGCAAGGGTCTTTAAAAATCAGAGACCCAAACACCACCAAAGCCACAGAGTGGAAACAAGAACCTTGATTCTTAGCTCCGTCTTATTTCCCATTATAACAGAGTGACCCACGCTGGGTTTGTATCAAAATGTTAGTTGGCCCCATTAGCACCTTCCTGTCATCATTGTTAATGGATGTAATGCCATGTTCTGTCAGACACAAGCCATCCCATGCAACCAATGGTGCCAGTAAAGGGTATCAGTCATATGGATCCATTGTTTCTACAAATACTGATGGCCACTATACTGCAAAGCATTTAAGGTGAAAGAAAGAAAGAAAGAAAGAAAGAAAGAAAGAAAGAAAGAAAGAAAGAAA